TTCTTTTTAAATCTAAGATTTGAAAATGAAACACAAGATTCCTTATAAGATTATCTACCTTTATCAATAAAAAAATCTCTACCGGACAGTCAAGTTAAATTTTTATGAGCGTTTGAAATTAAAATTTTTACAACATTGGATATTCACTCGATTTCTCATGTAGCGATTTCCTTATTTTGTTGTAATTCAAAAACGAACAACTGTAGATACATGAAAATTTCACTGAATGTTTAAATTAGCATTTTCTATACACCATACAATTTTGAAAATATTTTGACTCTTTTTGAGCTGTTTAGGGACATTTTCAGTTTTCAATTTTTTTAGTTTTTTTTTTTATAATTGTCAATAAAATTTTATTTGGTGGGCCAAAAAGTCTGAAAATTGAATACAAGCTTTCTTATATATTGTTACAATATCAGTTGAAAAATTTTAAAAATACATAAGCACGATTTTTTTTATAAGCATTTAAAGTTGGAATTTTGACAAAATTTATCAAAATCTCGAAAATACACAGTTATTTTTTACAGACATTTTAAATTCAAATTTGGACGAAATTACATATTAAAAAACCTAGAATAACTATTTTAGTTATTTTGTTGTGATTGAATAATATTATTCGTGGGTACCTACTTGAAACTTCTAAAGTGTACTATTATATATCTATGATAGTATCACGGTTTTTGTTGATGTATATGTATAACGCGTTATAAGTACCTAATGGATATTGTGATATGATTAATTTGGAATTTATTATAGGTACCTATTATAGGTCAAATTTTGGTTTAGTAGGTACCATAGATATGTATATAATATGTCTTATACCTAGACTGACATACCGTCTCCGCTCAGAATCGTTTTTCTTATACAATGATATTATATCGTTGAATTCAAATTTAATATCATCCATTATACAGTGACCCACTTGTAACCTACTGTACAGCAGAGCGACACCCACTTGCCCACCTTTTTTTGATTTCACTTGTACGAAAAAAAATCCTTATTGTTTCAAAACCATTGTTGATTGTGTTTTTCAAACCTGAATAATTTTTTTTGTACTTCAGATATCGAAAAAATAAAAACGACATTGCACAGCCAAACATCTCCTTTTTATGTGGTGAAAATCTCGTTTCTTTGTTATGACGGTACCCTTCTCAGATCTTTCCCACGCAAAACAGTTTTTGCTGTGTTGTACATTTGTAAGACGGGACTAGTGAGACAACACACGAGGGTGTCAACTATATTCATATATTGTACAGTCGAGTCGCGATAACTCGAATATTGTGTTTTATTCCCCTATAAATTAGTTAGATATCCCGAAGTGAATTTTTATCCCCTTTCAACTTCGAGTTATCGCGACTCGATTGTATTATATATTTTTTTCCCCTTAGTTTCCTAACAAGTCACGGGCACTAGTACGACAATATATACTTTGTCAAGAGCACCAGTTCCTTTTTAGACGATACCTGTGGTTGCCAGTTAAGGTTTTGGTGGACAGGTTTTTAATGAGTGGGTTTTAGTGTGTTTGGAGACAGGTATGAAAGTTTTTGTACAAGCATGCAGCATCATCTATCACAGTTTCAATTGAAAGGTCTTTATGTAAAGTGTAATAAGATACAAATGGTGGGGCATTCGTTATCTTCTAAAGGGCAATATTCTGGAATTGTTGGATTTCTTTGGTATTGGAAACTTTTGTTGCACCCTATAATATTGAAGACCATAGGTCCATAGTGTCTTAAGAACTTTAACTTTTAATCTGGAGTGTTTATTGTTTGTAACCTGAGGAGACGGGTGTTTAAGACAAGTCTCTTGATATGGCTATTCCAAGTGAGACGCTTATCCAAGTTAAGTCATAGATATCTAACTGTGTAAGATATTGGAATGGGGATTTATGTAGGTAGACATTGGGGAAAATGAATGTGATTGCCTAACATTTTCTCTTATCAATGTCCTATGTATTTTTTGATTAACAAGTGTCAAGTACCTAAGTAGGTTCGAAAAAACTAAAAAGATAAACTTCGGCTGATGCGTCAAGAAAAACGAATGAATTTTCTCTTAAAAAAACTAAAAATGGTTAAAATGGAATATGATAAATTCAACTGTATACATTGGTAAAAATGACCTGTTGTTATAGCGCTTTAATGTTATTGATTTGTGATTTCTGTCTGAGAAAATAGGTTAAATATTTGATTTTAAAAATTATTTTCTTGACTGAACACTTGTGGGCCTTGTAAAATAGTAAAACACCACAAAAATTAGTGTTTTTTCCAGGATAAATGAAGGATATTTCTGCTTAGAAATTTATGAACATTTTTCAATTGTGATTTCAGTAATGACTTAGAGTATATTTTAATGGATTGTCCTGGTGTCCTAGGTCTGCCCTTGTACTACTTACCTAGCAATACTTATTTAATAAATAATAGTGCATATATTACTGCCATGAAAGTTTTATTCCTATTCTTAAATAATATCACTGTAAAGAACAATCGATAATCGTAATTTTATTATTTTAATAGGAAGTGGTATATGGTGATAGTGTGATGGTAAGTTTGAGAGGTACCTAAATGATTACTAATCTGACTTTGGTAATATCTTAGTAAAATATGATTCGTATCTCAAACACTTAAATTATCCATAAAGTGCTATTATTACCAGATGGTAAACAAGTAATTTGTAAGCCTTGTCAAATGGATTTTTACACATAAGTATAACCATTACAGGATTTTTGACATAATTTATATCATTTATGCGAAAATCCAAAATAAAATGTAATACATTTTTCTAAATCGATGAATTAACAGTATTTTATTCACATTGAAAATAATTAAAGTGAATAAAATTAAATAATATTGTTACAAAAATTAATATTATGAATACAATTATTTATTATAACAATTTATTGAAATACCGATACCTATGATATTTCTATAACTGGTAAAACTATAATTTACCCAATCACTAGTCTGTGGTAGAATTATCATAGGTCGTATTCCTTACAGCTGAATATTAAGCATCATTATCTATAACCAATAACCATTAACCATAATATTTATTTATTTATATGAATATTACAGGACAGCCCAAAAAACAAGTATATCAAAATTATATTCATTTGTTTTTGTTTTAAGTTCCTAAAATGTAAAAAAATTGTACAGTATTTTGACTGGTCACCACAAAATTACGACAACTTCACATATAAAAATATCAACCTGCTTTATCTATACGTGGGTATTCAATTTTCTAATAAAATTGTTTATATGTTTTTAATTTGCATGAAAAGATAAATTATGGATTTATAAATGGAAAATGTTGATAAGTTATATTAAACCAAATATAAAATATGTTTAAGGTTATTGGAGAGAGCGAAATAATATTATACCCTGTGATTTTGCAATGTACAAAAATGCCACTTTTAATTTTAATTGTTAATTAAGTTTTTGTTTAATACTCGTTAAATAACATTTTCAATTACAATTATTTGTATCCACATTTGAATATAAAAAGTTAAATTAGTTTCACATTGTCTATAGAAGAGAAAAAATAAAATAAAAATGAAAAATGTATGCTAGAAATTCAACTTAATACATACAATTAATAGATCAGGTTTTTCTATATATTACAAAAAAAAAAATTATGAACATATATTTATAACAATAACACTAACTTATTATTACTTCTACTACTAAATTAATTTTATATAAAACATTAATTAATGAACAAAATGTTAAATATAGTAAGTGCCAAGTTCTAATATTCAACATAAATAATTGTTTAGGGGACTAGATAGTCTATATAGTTTCTTTCAGTGACATATTTAAGATTTACCAAGCAAGTGCATATTTATATTTTGATACAATTAAAGTTAAAATATTTATTGTATCATTATTATGATTTATTAAAATGTTTAAGATATAAATGTAAAAGTATCTATCCTACCCACAACCAATAAATATGCCACTGTTTTCTTACTATATTCAAAAATTAAATATTGTATACAGTTAACAGAACTAACAAATTTTTAACTAACAGAAATAGAAGTCAATCAAACCCTCTACACAGATTAAACTTCTTGTGTTTGACAGGACATTAGGACAAGTTTCATAGAATCATGTTTGAATATTTTGTTTTATAATTGACAATGATTGATGACTATAACATTTTTAAAATGATATTGAGAGCAACTTTTTTTAAAGCTTATTGAAAAATTAAAACAATTTTTAAATACATTCATCGTTCCACTCAGAATCTAAAAAACATAAAATAAAGTCATTACTCATTGCCATCTCACACAACATTAACTGTGATAAAATCTCACATCATAATGTGTTATATTCTACAAGATCTATAATTTATACTTAGTAATTTATTGTATTGAGTACATCTAAGACAGATCATACCCAACTTACTGTAATAAGATTTGTTAAATTATTGATATCAGATAAGTAATATTACGTATTTATTATGCGGTTTGTATAATCATCAATTTATACTGTCAGTGAAAACAAAAAATGTTTATGTAATTACATTACAACAGTTACAACTTATAATTACATCATATTATTACAGTGTCATCTACAAATATTTAACAGCAAAAGAACTTGAAAATAACTACAACTGAATTAATTTTTAATGGTGCAAATATTATATAATTTGTATAATTAACTAATACATACATGAAAAAAAAGTTAATTTTTAAAACTGATGTTTTAAACTATTATTGTATACAAGATATTTAAATTATAAATTATTTAATTTTATATTGCATGTATGCTCGAATAAATTATTTTAACATATCTGAATACATTGTTATAATTTTTTTGCCTAAATTAACTAAGTTCAGTATAATTAAACTATAGTATGCGTACTATTAATCATTTTCAAGTATTATAAGTAATCCTTAGGATATCGCTTAGGACAGTACTAAATACTGTAAAAAGTTGGAGTATTTTGTAATATACATGCCATGAGATTGTTGACTGGTAAAATCGATCTTGTTAAGAACACTAAGGTAAAAATTCCATTTCTCTTTCAATTCCAACAAATTTAAGTTGCTCAGTTGGTCCATATCTAAAAGCATAATACAAATCATAACAATAAAATTAACTCAATGTATAAATGTTTAATAATTTGTGAGAATAAATTAGTAACCTGTAGTCAAAAAATAATTCTTCGCCAGGTTGTATAGGACGTTTAGCAAATATACCAATTCGATGATCACCATTTACCATCATTACTTTAGCATAACAATTTGGATTTATAGAATGATTGGCAAATCTTATTTTATTGCCTTTTCGTGTAGCATCAACAACAAAATCTATTATACAAATAATAACAACACTTAAGTTATATAAAATTCTATAAAAAAAAACCTCAACATAAATGCTAAATTGTTATTTAAAAAATATTATCATAGACTTAATGTGTTACATACCATGGTTTAAATTAAATAAAAAGCTACACATGTATTTATCATAAACTTTCCCACGTCGATCAGCTTCATCTTGAGTAATAATTTCTCCACAATATTCAGATATAAATTCATTTTTTTGTGCAGAATCTTTCAAAAATATACCCCAACCAGCAACATCCGAAGGTGCCATTAATAAGTGTTTACCTAAAATAAAAGACAAATGATTATTATAAATGCAAACACTTTTAACACATTTTACTTTTTAGTATACTTACGAAGGCCTCTTTGAACACTGACATTTTTACATGTTATATTATCTAAATTAAACTGATCTGCACCACAAGTTAAACATAAATCTGGATCACATTCACGAACAGCTAAATAACAAGGACATTGTTTCGTGTTGCACTGAGCACGACACCTACAACCAGGAAATCGATTTTGACCTAAAATACAAGAATTACTTACATTTAATACAGAATCTAATAATATAAGAAATCTTAAAACACTCACAATCTGAACTGCACTTGCAGAATTTTTCACAGAAATTCTGTGCCATTACACAAGGACACGTTGCATCACAACCTTGATTTGGTGGATGAGAGCACGGTGTATAGTTATATAAATGATTTGATGCAGAATCTCTCTTTAGTTGTACTTTGCGACAATGTGTTTGCCATAAACGTAACTTTTTCTTTTTTTTTCTAGGCGGAGTTAACTCACTAATAGCTTCTTCAACAGTAACTTCATCATTTTCATTTTGCGCAAACTCATAAACCTGCTGACAACTTTTTGTTAACATCATCTGAGCAATGACACAATAGTTATTCAGGAATGTGCGACGGAGTGCACGGAAAATTGATTGGTCCGATCCAGTCCAAACTTGTTTATCTTCTGAACTCATGCGTGGAAGTAAAGAGAAAGATGTTTTAGTTAACAATGGATCTTCCATGTCTAGTTCACCATCTGTTAAAAAATGATTAAAAAAAATAATTAATTGTCATAAATTATAAACTATGTGGTTTTAAATTAATTATTCATTAGTATACTACCTTTACTGCTATCTCTGCTATCTTCAGAACTAGCATCATTACCCCAATCCGAGCTATCTTTTTTTGATAATTTAGTAGAACTAACTGGTTTTTCATTAATTTCATTCTGAGGTGACAACTCTTTCGTATTACTGGAAATTGTTGTGGACCCCGATCTATTAGTTTCTTCATCTCTATCCGCTTGTTTTTGTTTTTCAGCTTTGATTTCAGCAATAGCAGCTAATTTTTCTTTCATTCCATCCTGAAAAAAAAAATTTCTATGAAATCCTATTTAATTGTATTAAATATTTCAAATGTCTTACAAGTAACATATAACAATCTTGACTACAGTGAGACGAAAACGGTTTTAATAAAGGTCCTTTAAGGCCAATTGGCAAATTAGTCCCAGAATCATGCTCTTTAAGTTCTACAACATAAAAAAATAAGATATTAATGATTAAAAATAATAGTTGATTATAAGAAATAATATATACATACTGTGTAAAAAACAATCATATTTGTAACACCTTCTACAAAACAAATTTAAAAATGAGTGTATAGTTTGCTCTTTAGGTACAGACTCAGCCTTTGGTCCATCAATGTTTGGAGTGCATTGAGATGGTTGTGCGTTAGGGTCAACACAAGATGTTAATTCAATATACCTAAAAAAAATTAAGTATACAAGCATAAATTCCCCACAAAATAATAACTGATAATGGTATACGTAAAATATTAAAAAATAATATTTACTTTTCTTTGAATTCTTCAGGAGTTCCTTTATCAGGGAATGCAGCAGACATGGCTTCAAATATAGATACACTAGGAAACGGCCTATCATCTTTATTGTTTTTTACCACCATTTTTGGTGTCAATAAAGTTTGTTGTTCTTTATCTTCTTCTTGCTAAACAAGTTCACTAACATTAATCTCAATAAGAAAATAGATTTTATTTTTATTTTACCTGAAATGGTATAAGTGCATGGACTAAGTCTACAAACACTTGATCATCCAAAAAGTTTGCAGCATCATCGTCGTGAACTTTATTATCATAATTTTTTAATAGTTCCTCAATAAAAGAACCATCTTGATCAAGTACCTCGTCCCCCATGTATGGGATATTATGTAGTACTGTTTCATCATCCACCTACAAAACATTAAATGGAAACAAAAAAAATATTAGATTGGATTATAGTCTAATTATATATTGTCTATTAATTATTACCATGAAATTCGCCTGAATTGGTGCCCAGATGTACATAGTAGGTATAGGTGCTACAGCATTAATTATTTTAATCGGAACACTCATGGTTTCTTCCCCAATACCATCTACCTTAGATACTTCTGACCGTTTAGATCTCGATACTGTTTCTATAAATGGTCGACATTCCCAAATTGCTTTTCTCGACAACAATCGTTTGAGTTCTTCCGCTTTTTTATCTGTAGGCAAGAAATAAAATATGAAAGCAAGAAACATTAAAACAATAACATGCCATTTAAACACAGTACCATAGAGCTTCTTCTGATTATTCATGCATGCTAATACATTGTCATCGTCTTTCTTTGTTTTTTTGGCCTGCAGTAATCTGAAATACTCGGCTTTTACACGTTTCTTCCAGTCGGCATTATTTTTGGCTTTTTTCTCGGACATGACGAGAGTGACGAGTGGGTTCAGTTGACTAAATCACGAGAGTAGGATACACTGAAATCGAACGTCAGACCAATAAAGCGACCGCCTTAAAGACACATGTCGAACAAAATATGATAATATTATACACACAAGCAATATTACCGTCGTCGTTCAAGTAGTGAATAGTCACAGAGCAATTACGTTCATCGGTCAACCTTGTTCTGTCACGATATCATAGAAAAATTAGTCGAAAAAACATTCGGTCTTTGCGTACTATCGGTTTTAAATCTAGTAACGAGTCAATTATTATACGTACAAAAGACGAGATCCGATATTGTCGCATTTACATAAAAATCAAAAGTATTGAATAATGTAGTAATAATATGTACCATGTACGTCTAACAGTGTAAACAAACTTTTATTTTTCAAAAGTCGTTTTCTTCCGTTTTAATGTTTTATAATGTTTATCAGCTTACATTTTGTTTACGTTTACAACATCATTCATGTCGCTCGTACATAACCTCCAATCTGGAAGCCGCAACCCGAAGGCCGTATCTATGGAGGTGATTGAAATCGGTGATTTTCTGTCTTTGTCTAACACACGTGCAACATAAGATTATAGGAATCCCGGAAAAAAAAACCACAGAAAAAAAACCAACAGCGAAAAAAACCAACGGAAAAAAAACCAATGTGATAATATAATCAGAGAATTAGCATTATCACAAAATATAATATACAATCCTTATGCTGTTTTCAATATTATAAAAATTATGAGAAAAATGTATACAAATGAGCATAAGTAATTAATGATTGATAGAATATAAGTTACGATCACTATGTATATAAAAATATTAGTTTAATTTGCTATTACATACATTTTAGTTTGAGAAATTTCCTGTACATATACTATATTGGTTTCAAAAATCAAAATAACTCAACTATATAATCAGATAAGTTTGACAAGTTAATCTGTCAATCTGTCAAGATTTATAGTTGAAATAGGGGGAATCTAAATGAAGATCATATAAAATACACTATTGATCATTATTCATTGTGCTGACTTTGACTTTACTAGTTTACAGTTTACCGTATTGTGTTCTTGTCATGCAAATTGTTTTTTTTTTAAAAGTTCTGGATTAATAGTATAAAATATGGAAATTATTGAAATTATTAAATCAAATAAGGGCGCAGATAAGATTTGTCACAACGGTCATATGTATACTTTAAAATATGCTGGAATACAATATTATACATGGAGATATTCAAAAAAAAATTCACTTAATTGTCGGGCTATTCTGAGAACTGCAACTAAGATAACTCAATCTTTTGTTTCAAAAAATTTTGATTATAATATTATCATTTTGTTTTTTTTTTCGTTGATTCTTTTTTCTTTTGTTTTTTTTCACCGTATACCGATTATAGACATGTTCTATTTCCAACGTACCGATTAATCTATTGAAGCGATTAGAATTCTGAAAATAGATTTCAATTTGTCGTCAAGTCTTCTTGTGATCGACTTCCACACATTTTTGATTTACACTTCTCCAAAAATTGAAATATGTCAATTTTTTTTTACTCTTTTTATTATATCGTTTTTATGATTTTTGGGAGGATAATATCAAAAATGTGGGAAATTCGATCTCAAGTAGACTTGACGACAAATTCAAATCTGTTTTCAGAATTCTTATCGCTTCACTAGATTAATCGTTAAGTTGGAAATAGAACACGTCTATAATCCTATGTTCCACGTGTGTTAGACAAAGACAGAAAATCGCCACTACCAATCCCCCTTAAGAAAACAATTAACAAATGAACCGAACGTTACTCGTTAGCCGTTAGTAAATATAACGGATATCTTAGTACGTGGTAAATACTAAATAGCAATGTATAAATTAACTTGATTAAAAAAAAATTAATTTACAGAAAGTAAAATACTGAAAACCGAATAGGTATCTGGATATCATGAACTAAGATCAGAGGGCACATTTCAAGGGGGTGTACAAATCTTAAGATATGGAAATTTACTTATTATCATGGAATAATATGATAAATAACTAATTGCTATGAGGAATTACTTAGTTAGGAAAACTAACTTTGCAGTCTGTGAGCATTCTAAACTCAAGGTAAAAACCACACAAAAGTTAAGGAAAAACGGGAATTTTTACTCAAAATCGGTTTTCCAAAAAAAACGATTTTGGTTTTTGGTGTAACTCTAAAACAAATGAACGTATATACATGAAATTTTCACTGGTTGTTTATATTTGCATTTTCTATACACGATAAAATTTTCAAAATATTATGATTTGTTTTGAACTGTTAAGGAACATTTTCCATTTTCCATTTTTTTTTAGTTTTTTTTCTAAAAACATCAGTAAAATTTTATTTGTTGGTTAAAAAAGTTTGGACATTTAATAGAAGGCTTTTAGTAGTCTATTGTTTCAAAGGCAGATGAAAAATATTAAAAATCCTTAGTCACAGTTTTTTTTATTAATTATCAAATTATTTTGAGTTAAGAATTCGTAAAAATTTTTCTTTTTAAATCTAAGATTTTAAAATTTAATACAAGATTCCTTATGAGATTATCTCCCTTTATCAAAAAAAAAAAATGTCCATAAGAAAGGCAAATTAAATTTTTATGAGCGTTTGAAATTCAAATGTTTACAACATTGGATATTCACTCGATTTCTCATGTAGCGATTTCGTTATTTTGTTATATTTCAAAAACTAATAACTGTAGATACATGAAAATTTCACTGAATGTTTATATTAGCATTTCCTATATACCATACAATATTGAAAATATTTTGACCCTTTTTGAGCTGTTTATGGACATTTTCAGTTTTCAATTTTTTTAGTTTTTTTTTTCTATAAATATCAATAAAGTTTTATCTGTTGGGCCAAAAAGTGTACAAAATTAATACAAGGCTCCTGATATATTGTTACAATATCAGTTGAAAAATATTAAAAATACATAGGCACAATTTTTTTTATAAGCATTTAAAGATCGAATTTTGACAAAATTTATCTTAGTTAAAAATTTATAAAATGTGCAACTTTTATATTTAATGATTGAAAATTTAAAACAAGATTCCACGTAAGTAGTTAATTCTGTTACCAAAAATTCTAAAAAATACAGAAGGACAGTTTATTTTTTAGTCATTTTAAGTTCAAATTTGGTCGAATTACATAATTAAAAACCTAGAATAACTATTTTAGTTATTTTGTTGTGATTGTAATATATTATTCGTGGGTACTTGAAACTTCTAAAGTACACTATTATATATCTATCATCTATGATAGGATCAGGGTTTGTTGTTAATCTATAACGCGTTATATAAGTTATTATAGTACCTAATAGATATTGTGATATGATTAATTTTAAATTTATTATAGGTCAATTTTTTTTAATACCATAGATAAGTACCTATATAGTAAGTCTTATATCTAGACTGACATACCGTCTCCGCTCAGAATAGTTTTTCTTATACAATGATAATATATCATTGAATTCAAATTTAATACCATCCATTATACAGCGACCCACTTGTAACCTACTGTACAGCAGAGCACCTTTTTTTTTTTTAATTGCTTTTGCCTGTAAGTACTCTCACACATAGGCGTGCACAGAGTTTAAGTTCGGGGCGTGCCCGTGGAAAATTTGAATTATACATTATACACACATAGACAGAGTATAGTATAGATATTATAAAAAAAAAATAGAGCAGAAACAAGTCACATTTTTTTATTATAACTTATTTATTAATTATTATTGGTTACTGGTTTTTAGTTAGTATATAATATTTACAGATTCATAAGTCTATTTGCTAAGCCTCTAAGGTATTGAACTCATCGATGACAGAATCCAAGTTTATCCCACTTGTCAACTCTTGTTCGGTGAATAGTAACAGTAACGAATCTAATCGTTCCTGTTTCATCGTACTCCTAAGTTTTGATTTTACAATTGTCATTTTGGAAAAGACTCGTTCGCATGTACAACTTGTGACTGGGATAATAGTAAATAATTGTAAGGTTTTATAAAAACAACCGTAGGTAGAAATACTATTGTTAGTTTTCAGCCAATCAAGCCACAAATAAATGGACTCACTAGATGTAGCATTAGGTTTATCAGATTTTGGCAAATGTTTTAAAATTTTTATTTCAGTTTTTAGACCTGTACCTGTACTTGATGTATATGAGAACTTAGCCAAAACATCAATCATTTCAGGTTTTATTTCCATGTGTAGCAGACTAGCAATAGCTTCAATTAAGCTTAAAGTTTCTTGATTGAATCTTGAATCCATTGCCGATAATAAATCACCAAGTAGTTCATAATAAACTGATATCTTCATTTTATCTAATTTATTTAAAAAAAAAATGAGATTTAGATTTGTTATCAATTTGAGTCGATACTTTTCTACGAATAACGTCTGGAACAATTATTCTATGTTTTTTACATAAAGCAACTGCTTGTTCAAAAATATTTTCAAATTCTTTGTTTTCATTTCTCATACTTTAAAGATTTAATGTTAAAGACCGTACATTATCAATTTCCAACAAAAGATTTAGTTTTAGTGATTGAAGTACTGAGCTAACTTTTAAAATAAGATTTAACATTGGATGTATCATAAACATGCCAAAAATGAACTCAAATCTTTTTTATGTATTGTTGTCATGGATGAGGATGACTTGGTGATACCCCAGTTCTCCTGTACTGATAAGCATGTTTGAGACATAGGGCGCTTCGGCCCTTGAAAAATCTCGGGGCGTGCCTGGGCACGCCCGGCACGCCCTGTGCGCACGCCTATGCTCTCACAGTCTTACCTCCCTTTCAATTTTTTTTCATTTATTTAATTCTAGTGTAGTGTGTTGTTTACAACCTTTATTATATTTTCCAAATTTCTGTTTTGCTACCTAAAATGCATTTGCTTAGCGGGGTCCCACAATCCACTTCTAATTTTTTTGTATTAATTTTTTAAACATTGACTATACATTACTTTTGGAAATTTAAGTTGAACGCTTTAGTGTGTGTTCTTACTGTATATTTTTTTCTAAATTTTTTTTATGTTTTCTTTACTGCCTTTTTTATGAATTTAACTCTAGGTGATATTTTTGTATAGACTTTTGAACATTGATAACCTGGTTCCTATGAATAATCCTTCTTTAATGAACTAATTATTGTGAATAGTTTTTTCTGTTTCATAATCTGTATAGATTGTAGTTTGCTTTCTTTAGTATATGTGTATCCATTTAATAATTTTCTTCTAAAAAGCATTTGCCTGCGAGTACTCTCACCTTTCTTTCAATTTTTTTCATTTATTTAATTCTAGTTTAGTGTGTGTACAACTTTTATATTATATTTTCCAAATTTTTGTTTTTGTTACATAGCCAATGCCCATATTAGTATACATACTATATTATTATATTACTATATTACTATACCTACATATAACATATTTTAGTTATAAGTATATTATATTATTATAAGTTATGAGCAAAAAAAAAAAAATAAATAAATAAAAAATATCATTAATATTTAAATTTAATCCATACATTTTTCTTTATTAATCTAAAACATAAATAACATAATAAATAAAATCTTTTTTTCTAGAAGAAGAAAATATACAATCTATATCTAAAACATAATGAGTATAATATGTGCGATAAGAGGGAAACAAATTTACATAATTTGGGGAAAGAAGCCACCCACTGATGACACTTTCAACAATAACTATAATCTAAGACATTTTTTTTAACCAGACGATTCAGGCAACCCTTCGAGTAGAAACGCAGATTTGAAATCAGGGAATGTCCGTCTCATATAGACATACTGCACAAAGGACGACGAGTGGACATTTGCCATTTGCGGCGGACTGTCGGACCAGGACGCCGGGTGGCCATCGAGCCACCCCCGCAGTGGTTCTTGTAGGACCGCGACGACGGCTCGAGGTGCACTACAAGTTACAACAAACGACCGACCCAAGCCGGCAGTAGGGGAGACTGGCTTAATATGACATATTAGGGTAATATGACACATTGATGTTTTGATTAGAATTATTGATATTTATGAACCAAATCTTCTTTAAATACGTTACATATAACCTCCCACATACAATTAATACAGCGATCACCGGTTTTGACCTTATCAGAGAATTTGATAACAAAAATGTGTTTTTTGTCTTATCAACATTTTTTAAAAGCATTTTTGAAAATTAATTTTAAAATATTAAACCTTATGTTCCTTCAATTTTTTTTATTCGAAGTTGAACATAAAAAGGCAAGCTATACTACAATTGTTTTATAAATAAGCTTATTATAATACTTTTGCCATAAATACTTTGAAAAAAACTTGTATTATATCAGGCAAAATGACATAGCCGTGCTTTTTATTACCTATATTAATTTCATATTTATATTATTATATTAATTATGTTAAATATATTTCTAAAATTTTGTTATTTATAATAAAAAAAATTCATTAAACTATTAAATTCTAAAAATTTTATAATTTATTTCTATTGACCAGTATACAATGGTTGCTTATACAAATATGGTGTATGCCATTTTACCCGACACTCCGGGTAAAATGACATAATAGGTACATTTAAAAAAAAGTGAATTAAAATTATTTGTTTACATTAAATGTACAATTAGACTTCAGAAATATGTGTATTATATAAGTACTAATATGTTGCTCAAGTTTCATGTGTTAACTAACATTATTTCCTTCATTTTTTTAAAATTAAAAATTGGTATGTCATATTAAGCCAGTCTCCCCTATACTCTCTTCGGAGCGAGAGTAGGATGCTTCAGTGCTCGACGGCGATTACTATGGCAAGCGGCGGCGGCAGCAGGTCAGGCTCGAAAAGCGGCAAGCAGAGGACGAGTCTGGAAATCAGCCTTTGCCGGAAGACCACCACCACGGAAATGCTGCACGCGTCTGTGAAAATGGCCCGAGTGTTCGTTCTGGGGGGCCTGGCAGGCGGTTCGGACTAGAAAGCTCCCGGCCGCAGATCGAGGTGCGGGGCGTGAGTGCATGAGGAAGAGGAACTTTTGGAGATTACGGTGAAACTGATCGAAATATAAGATGCTTGGCGATGACGGCAGTTCCGATAAGCTCGGTACGGCTTCAAGAATTCCGGCGAGCATATAATTTGGAAGCTCGCCGGTGATAATATGCTGAAATAGTAATTTTACGGACAACTATTAAATATGTTGACGATTTTTCGACATATAAATACATATTGTTATATGGTATATACTATATTGTATATACGTCGTAGGCCATTTGAAAAATTAGTCTTTTTGCGAAAAGACAAGGCTCTTTGCAATGGGGTTGGGGTAGCCCGTTTGCGAACTACTTATTATTTTTCAGGCATATCTATTGCATATGGACTAACAGCATTTATGCCTTTTAAGAACTACCATCATTATAATATGATAATAATAAAATTAATAACCATTTCACTTATTTTCCGACAAGCGCATCTATTTGTTATGCACGATGTTTTGCTACTTTTGCATAGGTAATATGTAAACCGAATAAGTATAGAGAATAGGGTAATATTATTAATTGTACAAAAAAAAATAAAATTGCTATAGAATTATTATAACAATGTCATGTAAACTTATCTAATTTGATCAATGGCAAGTATCAGTGGAGTTTAGATTACTTTAAAGTAACATATTATAATTATTATAATACCATGTAATAATTTAGTATAACCTACATGACACATGTTACATGAAACTTTAAAATAAAATAAACTAAACTCCAATAATACTTGCCATTGATCAAAGTAGATAAGTTATAAGTTATAATAATTCTACTGCAATTTTATATTTTTGCAAAACTAATAAATTACCTTATTACAGTGTTTTGTCAAAGAAAATTAACACAAGTATACAAACACAACCCTGCTGTATATAGATGTAGGTGGTGTATAGTTATTATATTAGTTGGATGACTTCTGTCAGTTTTTCTATAATCTGTGGTTAGTGTGTCTGATTGAACTGTTTTGGATTCTTATTGTGAAATGTCAGCTAACATTTTAAGCATAGGAATATTTTCTACAACTAGGCTCTAATTTTATATTGTAACCTAAACTCTTACACAGGCATGCAGAAACATACTGAAAATGTAAGTAATTTAACTTTTAAGTCTGTATTATGATGGTTTACTGATAATAGAATCAATGTGATTTGAAGCAATTGTAAGATAATCATTAGTTCTCTAAACACTGGTATACTACAGAGTACAGACAATACAATAGATTTATTTTTACTCGTGTAGTATGCTACCTACCAAAAACCTGTACACGTACAGTATGCTACTTATAGGAAAATATGACAACTCTTCTGTTATATTTTTATTTAATTTAGTTACGGGAAAATAACTGCTTGAGTTATTGAGACAAACAATATAGTATAATGTTTGTTGGTCATATAATACTATAATAGCTAAATATTAATTACATTGGTAATTATCTACCAGTAAATTACTGCTAAATATCCTCAGAGTCCCATAATAACTTACTTTTAGATGTTAAATTTTTTTAGTTTGCTGTGTTCAGCAACACATATGTTAGACCACCAACTGGAAGAGAATGGCGGCAATCAATAATTTAAACACAACACAACAATTGTCAATATATTTGAAGTTTTCTGGGATAACGTAAACACAGCATAATACTATATAACGTATTAAAATACTTAACAATGATGGTCATCAATACATTAAGTATATTTTAGTTAAATAAATCGTCGTTAATCAGTATGTCAAAGTGGTAAGCACCCGTAAACTTTTTTAGCAGGTAGGTAGTATACTACACCAACGAAGTAGAAGTAGGTAGCCGTTGCATACTACCTTTTTCAGTAATTTGTAGTTTTCCACAGATTTTAAATTGATACAAAAAAAAATAAGTTGACATAGATACTATAATAATAAATAAATGTATTAAACAGAATTAATAATAGTACATATCATTAAAATAAACAATAATTAGTTACTTCAAATATGTCCATGCTTCTAATTGATTATAGTTAATCTTAAATCTAATAAACAATTTAATAAAATTATAAGATTGGTTTTAGTACAAAGATTTAGAAAAAATATACAACATAAGACATATAATAATATAATATATATAATAATTTACAAAAACAAATTTTGAAAAAATAATGGAAAATCTATAAATTCAGACTCAGTGATAATTTACTTATTTTTCAGTTATTCCACTGCTAAACTAAAAGATTCAATATCTCCAAAATGCTCGTTCATTGTTTGTACAAATGCTTCTTCTTGTGGATCCTTTTTTTTTTGTTTATGTTTTCTACATTTTTTTTTTATTTGTACATCTATTTCTTCTTCTTCTTCTTTCTCTTCAAACAAACTTTTATTTGTTCTTTTTCTTCCGGGATATGATCTTCGTGGTGGTTTTTTAAATCTGATATCTACATCTGCTTCAATTTCGGCTAGTAAATCTGTAACATTACTACAGCTTTGATCTTCAGAAATATCTGAAAAAGTAGTCCATTTATCGTCGGAATCATTTGTTGTGGTGACGGTTAAATTTTCTTTCTCGGTAGGTTCATCTTCTGGATCACTACAAAAAAGTTCTGCAACTCGACCGTACTTAACATTTTCTTCTATAACGGGCAGTATAGGTTTGTGGCAATAAGTTTCTATATTTGTTTTGTTTTGGTCATCTTTATTAATTGCACTAATGTTTAATGAATTATTATCCTTGAGAATTCTTTTTGAATTCTTTTTAGATAATATTTTTGATGGAGTTGATGACTGTATTGGAGGTTCAAAATTTTCTTCATCTCCAATAGACATTTTGTAGCGACGATTAGGTTTTTTCTTATTAGCCGATGACAGATAAGCCATAATTATTAAACAAATTAATCTGTAATATAAAAATAATAACATTTCATTAATAACTTTGATATATTATCTCCAGCGCATAAAACTTTTAAGCGTTGTAAAATTAAATTCCAAAATAATTAATGTACAGGCAAACTACCTAGTTTAAATAGATAAAATATTCGACCCATATATACACCAGTTAATTCAGAAATCTCACAACTAATCAATATTATGGATATTATATTGTTCACTTTGAATATTCCTATAAGTTACAAATTATAATGATTTTTTCACTATAAATAAAACTCCTTTCATCCTATACTCCGGCCACTGAGAGAGCGCTACCTCTTGGCGCATCCAAATGATCGAGCTCCACGGTTTCAAACCCAAATTTCTCCTGCTCTACCATATAGTTGTAGCAGCGACGGTGGCGGCGGCCAGCAAACGGACAAATTTAGTGGTGGGAAAGCGCGAGATCGGACAAGTTTTGGTCGCCGCCGGGTAGCGCTCTCTCAGTGGCCGGAGTATAATACATATTATTACAAATCAATATTCTTATACAACCATCTTACGAATATCTAGGAATAAGTAAGTAAGGACACGGAATATTACACGAATGCTCCAAGTGTTAAAATAACTAACTGTATAGAAACAAACAATTTTAGAATATGAACTAAAGTTATTCCTAAAATACACATATAAAAATTACCAATTTTTATGAATCCGACCATAGCATACTCAATATGTAAAATAAAACATACATTTCACAATAAATCTAATGAAATAAAATACATTTTTCATAAAACAATAGTACAAAAATACAAGGTTTACCTAACCTGGTGACAATACAGAACAATTGTAAGGGAACACAGGCGTCTTGAAATACATAAATTATAATACATGTTTCATGTTTGTTATAACTCGTAATAAATTATAAATAATGTAATGGTGGTGCTTACCTTTACATCACCAATGAAAATAAATAGTTGTTGAAGAGGAAATTCCTACAGCATGGCAAATATACACAAATATTTGGGAAGTACACCAGACATAGGAATTTAGCATTAGACAAGCAGAATGGGAGGCCTAGAGAACAGCTAAACAATAGAATTTTCAAGAGAAAGCCTACACTGCTATATAGTATGCAGAGTAACAGTGTTAATACGGACACTTATATGAAAGATACAGTTAAATTTTACACTTAACAAAATTGTCATAAATTGAAGACAAGATAGGCAGATGCTACCAATCAAAAAAATAACATAATACATTTTTTCAAAGAAATACAAGCCAAATATTCGCAGATTAAGATATTAATCGTCAGATATGTCTCCATAATTATTTAATTTCAATAACAGCATTAAAATTAATAATATACTTACTTACACACAATGGATATTTTCAATTAAAATTGACACTAAACTAGGTAAACTGCGAACGTAAAACGTAGTAACTATTAACTAATCCTATAAAGTGATAACGAACAGACGTATGCAAGTTGTATTTTGTAAGCCGTAATGACTATTGACAATTTTGACTTCAACTGTACTCTAAATTCACTATTTTGTCATTAGAAATTAGAATTTAGAAATGGCGCAATATTGATGTGTCGTGCACTCGTGCTCTTGTAAACCGCAGTCCGCAAAGCCGTTATCCAATTCATAGAAACAATAACAACCAATGCCGAAATTTGACAACGGTAATTCTGTTGCCAACCTATGAACTGCGATATAAATAAGATTTTATTCGTTTGGTGGTGGTGGCACTGTTTAGATATCTGAATATCTCATAATAGATACCACCGACTGCACGAGTGAAGGGATGGGGACAATGGGGTCCCGCGGGCATTCGCTTTCTTAACCTGAAGTGTAGTCCGATTTTAATTTTGAAAAATTATTTTAATTTGTTATTGTTATTGTCTATTCAATATTTTATGGGAGATAGATTTTCAATATTTTGAAAAGTCAATCATAGACGTGTTTACGGGAGGGGCCGGGTGGGCACTGGCCCCCCCGGCCGACTGTGCCTCCAATAAAATCATGTCAGGATAAAAAAAATTTGTGTGGTGTGTACCCTGCAGTACCTAATACCCATAGATTTTGATTGAATTTTTTTTAGTTACGCATTTATTAATTTGTGATCACAGATATAAAATTTTAAACAAAGTGATCCAAATCCAAAAGGAAAAACCTGTGGTGAATGGATTAAGTGGCTTACAGTTCATGGTAGAGAGGATTTATTTTCAAATGTATTCAAAGCCTTTAAAATATTCGTAACTATAGACTGTCTATAGTTACCAGTTACAAGCTTTTCGTGTGAACGGACATTTTCAAAACTAAGTTTTATAAAAACCAAACTGAGGAGCACTATGAATCAAGATTGCCTGGATGGTTTATTAACCATCAGTATCGAGCAAGAATTGGCAAGAAATATTAACTTTGATGATGTCATTGAGACTTTTAAAGTATTAAAACCATATAATAGACGCAGGGCCGTCCCTAGCGCAGGGACAGCGGGGCCCTCGCCCTGGGCCCCGCGCCTTCACCAGTTGGACAGGCCCCGCTTTTGTAGATACCATAAAAAAGCCAAGTTAATGAGAAAAAAAAATTATTATTTATATATTTTTTAATTTTTATATCCTTAATTGCTGTAATTTTTACTACCTATACCTACGGCCTATGCAACTCAAGAGTTATCTACACAAAGAACTGTTGTCGATTTCGCACTAAAAATCCGGATCTAGCGCTCTGCTGCGCTCTAGTGGTTAATATTAAAGCCAACGATCGTCTATATATTTATTGTATAAAGCTAGATGGTACACTAAGCACATCAATATTATTATATTATATATCATGGTATATATATATACATACCTAGTAATAAATAATAATATTATATACCTATTACCATTGAGTATATCTATACTCAATGCTATTACGTAATGTAAATATATTATAAGTTAGTTCTTAATTCTGACAATCTATTTTAGATTCTGAGTGAAACGATGAATGTATTGATTTTACAATGATGTGTGTTTTTTTATTTTTTTTATTTTTTTTGTATCTGTATACACGATAAGTAGTCGAAATAATGCTTCGATTTTCGACTTCAGTATCTTGTTCGATTGGAAAGTGAATATCGTTGGTGCATTGGGGAGGTCAAAATTTAAAATTTCCCAGTAGTTTTCACAAGCGCCGGGAAAAACAACATAAAAATTAAGGAAAAACGGGAATTTTTACGCAAAATTGATTTTCCAAAAAATCGATTTTGGTTATTGGTGTAACTCTAAAACAAATGAACGTATATACATGAAATTTTCACTGGTTGTTTATATTTGCATTTTCTATACACGATAACATTTTCAAAATATTTTGATTTATTTTGAACTGTTTAGGGACATTTTCATTTTCCATTTTTTTTTAGTTTTTTTTCTAAAAATTTCAATAAAATTTTATTTGTTGGTTGCGAAAGCTTGAAAATTTAATAGAAGGCTCCTAATATGTTGTTTCAAAGGCAGATGAAAAATATTAAAAATCCTTAGTCACAATTTTTTTTTATAAGCATTTAAAGTTCAAAAATTGACAAAATATGGAAAAATCACGAAAATTAGCAAATTATTTTGAGTTAAGAATTCGTAAAAATTTTTCTTTTTAAATCTAAGATTTGAAAATCTAATACAAGATTACTCATAAGATTGTCTACCTTTATCAATAAATAAATCTCTACCGGAAAGTCAAATTAAAACTTTTATGAGCGTTTGAAATTCAAATTTTTACAACATTGGATATTCACTCGATTTCTCATGTGGCAATTTCCTTTTTTTGTTGTAATTAAAAAACGAATTACTGTAGATACATGAAAATTTCACTGAATGTTTATATTAGCATTTCCTATACACCCTACAATTTTGAAAATATTTTGACACTTTTTGAGCCGTTTACGGACATTTTCAGTTTTCAATTTTTTTCGTTTTTTTTTTCTATAAATATCAATTAAGTTTTATCTGTTGGGCCAAAAAGTGTAAAAATGTAATACAAGGCTCCTGATATATTGTTACAATATCAGTTGAAAAATATTAAAAATACATAGGCACAATTTTTTTTTATAAGCATTTTAACATCGAATTTTGATAGAATTTTTCAAAATCTCGAAAATTATTAATCATCGTAATTAATAAATTATAAAATGTTCAGTTTTTATAGCTAAGGATTGAAAATTTAAAACAAGATTCCACGTAAGTAGTTAATTCTCTTACCGAAAAATCTAAAAAATATACAATCACAGTTTACTTTTATAGTCATTTTATATTCAAATTTGGACGAAATTACATATTAAAAAACCTAGTTATTTTGTTGTGATTATATAATATTATTCGTGGGTACCTACTTGAAACTTCTAAAGTGTACTATTATATATATATGATAGTATCAGGGTTTGTTGTTGATGTTGATGTATAACGTGTTATAAGTACCTAATGGATATTGTGATAATGTGATATGATTAATTTGGAATTTATTATAGGTCAATTTTTTTTTAATACCATAGATATGTATATAATTTGTATTAAACCTAGACTGACATACCGTCTTCGCTCAGAATCGTTTTTCTTATACAATGATATTGTATCATTGAATTCAAATTTAATAGCATCCATTATACAGTGACCCACTTGTAACCTACTGTACAGCAGAGCGACATCCACTTACCCACCTTTTTTAATTTTTTTTTTAACTGAATATTTATTTGACTTTGTTTCCGTAGTTGTTTAAGTTTGTCTAGTTTACTTGGTGTTACTTGTATGTGTATTCTATGTAGTTTTTGTTGAGTATGTTTATACTTTTTATTTTGGATAATGTAGGTACCCTACTTTTGTGCAGTATTTACAACTTTTAATTTTCGGAATTTTTTTTAAAGATTTTTCATAATTGTAAACTAATGAACAGTTTATATGCCGGAAACGACCATCTATATCAAAGCAAGTAGTTTTAGTTTTGTATTTCTTGTGTTCCTCTGGTATACTTATTCCTTTACACATATCAATTGAGTCAAACTTTTTAAACAAATTAATACATTTTGACTTAGGTATAACTTGTACCTATTATTATAATATAACTTCTCACCTTAGTCAAAATATTGCCTGTAGAATCTTTTACAATTTTTTCTCTCACAATATCTGCCGAAGAAAAATGTTTTTCACAGATTCTCTGTCCAACACTTAACCCCTGAAAAACATTTCCCCAAGTTTCTAGTCTTTTACAAGTCACCACAAAACTAGTAATACCTTCAGTATTCTTTTTACATATACAACATAATTGGGGCATTTTAAATGAAAGAAGTAACAAAAATGTAGTAACTAAGACAATTTTTGAAATAATTTTATTATATCAATATCATTGAGCTTAATACATTTTGTTTAGTTTTAATGGTTATAACTTATAAGTTATAACCTATATTGTTTAACTTTGTATTATATTATTCTAAGACGGTGGTATAACCTATAATACAGAATATAGAATATATTTACTTAAATTATACCTATACATTTTATGCCCTTATTTAATATAAAAAAATATATATATATTATAAATAAATTGAAATGCTTAGAGCACCATCTACTATATAGATCTATACAACCAATATATTAGCGTTCGTACAATACACTACTAGAGAGCAGCACTGCGCTAGATCCGGATTTTTACCGTAATAAAAACACCATTCAGGCGTCGACTTGCCAGACCTATTATTCTAAGACCGTGCCTACGGCTATACCTACTTATATTAATTGACATCAGTCGTCAAATAAATGTATTGCATTTAAAACGAGTTAATATGATTAAAATTCAATTTTCAAAGTTGAAAATGATGAAAATCTTCAAAGCGCTCTGCCCTCCCCCCCCCCAAAAAAAAACAACAACTTAGCTATAATATTTATAGAAAAAAAATGCTTAGATTCTGAGCGGAGCGAAAAAATGTATTTATTTTACAATGATGTGTGTTTTTTTTCTGTTTTGTTTGGCCCTTTTTGGGTAGTAAAAGTGCTCCGATTTCCTAGATCAGCATCTTTACTGATAGAAAAGTGAAACTATAGTTGGTATTTTTGGGGAGTCAAAATTAAAAATTTCTAGTAGTTGTAGAAAACGTTGAGAAAAATAAAAAAATAGGTGACTTTTATACAAAATCAATTTTTGAAAAATCGATTTTATTTTTTTGGTGTATCTCAAAAATTCATAACTGTAGAACCTTGAAATTTTCAACAAATATTTATATTAGAATTCTCCATAAAACATTTTCTCATTATTTTGACTATTTTTGAGCTAGTTATAGGCTTGAGCCCTTGAGAAATTTTTCCATTTTTCTAAATTTTTTTAAAATTATCCTCGATAAAATCTTTTTCATTTAGTAAAAAATCTTGAAAATATAATGATAGGTTCCTTATAATTTTTATTAATGGAAGTTTTAAAAATACATAGGCTCAATTATTTGTTATATTCTTATAAAGTTCCAATTTTGACAAAATTCATAAAAGTTTTTTTTTCATACCTAACTTGAGACATTTTAATAGAAGGTTTCCAACAAGTTTTTGTAATTCTATCAAACTAAAAAAGTTAAGGAAGCCACGTTTTCGATCTTTGTTAATTTTTTTTTAGCTACTAAATTTGATTACTTTTACAAGTGTGATAGGCTGATACAATGTCTCCGCTCAGAATATTTTTTCGTTTACAATAATTTATCAATGTAATTTAAATATAACACATCCATTACAACGACATGCTTGACACCCACTGTACAGCAGAGCGGTACCCACTTGTCTACCTTTTTTCATATTGTATTAGGTGCCTACTATATTTATAGACTTATTAATTTATCAATATTATTATTAAAGTATAAATATATTACGTGTTGTTTACTGTTTTATTATTAATTAATTTACTTATTCATAGTATTGTAAGTACAAGGTACTATATTTTTAATTATATTTGCGCGTAGCCCCCTTATACCTAGGTAGGTATATATCATAATTCATAATATAAAATATTTAAATAAATGCAACTGCCAACTGACGATAATGACATTTTAGGCCCCACAAATTTACTCTGCCCCGGGCCCCGCAAATCGTCCGGACGGCCCTGAATAGACGAATGGATTTATAAACACTTTATTTCAATAAATTATATCAACAATGTATTATGTATCTGTTTTTAATTTAGTTTTAAATATATTTTTATTGTTTTGACAATGGTTATACTTTTTTATCATAATTAAAAAATATTCCTACCATTCTGAATTTTTAATTTTATAACATGAAAAATTAATGTTTCTGCATGTCTAAAAAAAATAGGTCTTACAATTTAAAAATTTGCTGTGCCCCTTCGGCTACCAAAGTCTGAACACGCCTATGAAGTCAATGTACTCTGGTTCCAAATGATGAAATGAATGTACTTAATTTCTCAAATGTATATGTATTTTAAAGGGCCAATGAGAGTATGAAACTAAAAAAAGTTTTTCCTCCAAAACATGGAAAAGAGTTACAAATTCAAATCAGTTTTCAATATTTGAATTGGACAACTAGAAGTATGTTTATTCTTTGGCCTTTGCCAGTTCTTAGGTATAAGTGCATGGAAAATCCAATCTCTTAGAGCCGCTTTAAGCACAATAACAAAGTAACACATAGTAAACACTCAATTTATAAGACTTTTTCAGTCATAAAACTACAATAAAAGTGAGGGACTGGAGAAAAATGTAATTCATTATTATTGATAATCCACTTATCTTGTCATTGTGACATTGTATACAAGCACGATTTTAGATCTTGAATTGTAATTGTCGGTTAGCCGAATAAATAAGTTTATAGTAATTTAATAAGTTTTCTAATAATTTCATTAAGACTTATGAGTATAATAAATAAAAAAATGGTTACAATATAACAATATTTTATAATGTATATTAATTTGATTTTTTTTTTACATGATACAAAATGTCATAATAAAGATATTTTATATTTCACACCTTTACACAGTTTTAAATAGGTGAATGGTTTTAACATAATAAAAAACATAAAAATGATTAACAAAATAAAAATATAATTCAATACGTAATAGGTATATTATTATTATCACAAGACACAAATCAAATCTTGATTTGTGATTATTATTGATAATATAAAATAACAAATGAAAATAAATAATGTAGGTAGTTTAATTACAATGATATTAGATTTTCTGTAATCTAAAATATCATCTATCAAATAATGTTTTTCCTTCTTTGGCGACCTTTATTGCATGCATTATTGCCACAGTATCTAGCTCTTTTTGAGTGGGTCGCTCATTATCTAAACAAAAATCTGAAGTTCTTTTTTTCAGTATCCCCAGTACCTTAATTCTATAATCAACTACCGTAGATACAGGATTTCCAGACAAAACTAAATAATTCATATTTTGTAACCCACTCAAGTGTTTTAACTGATCTATATCTTCAACTAAGTTTGAGCCCAAGTCCAACATTTCTAGTGAAAATAATTTTGAAAATGCTTCCAAATTAGAAATTTTATTTGAAGACAGATTTAAACATATAACATTTCCTAGTTTTGTATGAAGATCGAGTACTTCTGTAATATTATTACTTGATAGTGATAAATGACTGAGATAACTAAGGGGTGACAGATCTTCAATAGTATTCAATAAATTTCCATTTAAATTTATTGTTTTAACGTTTGGGGTTAAAACTGTAAGACTTTTTAATGTTAGTATTTCATTCCAACTGAAATCAACTACTTTTACTTTATTCCAAATCATAGTAGAATCCATGTCAGAGGACCATTCTTTATGAACATTATCACTTAGTAAAATATCTTCAGGAGTCTTAAGCTTTGAATTGTATACTGTAATTATACGTACTGTATCCCGTAATGTCATTAAATTGTATATCATATTATAGGCAATATTATAACATTCAAATTTCTTCACATTCTTAAAAGATGATAGCTCAAAACTTAATTTATTGTAAATTATATTACTTGTACCAACATAATGATTTCCTCCTTTAATTGCTAAATATTTAAACTTTGAACAAAAATCTAATACATGGCTGAAATTATACTCGTTATTTTCACTATCTGGACAAGGTAATTTTAATCTTTCACTAATTGCATATAATAGCAATACATTAAAATTAAAACCATTATCGTTCAAAAGGTAATCATCTCCATTTTTAAAAAATTCTACGGCTAGTTTCTTGACAATTAATATTACATCATACTTGTGGAATTCTAAAAACTCTAATAGTTCTTCAGGCATTGACTTTTGTAAAAATGACAAAACAGTTTGTAGATATATTTCCAAGCCAACCCGACGTCTTTCAATGAAATTCGGATCCTTGTTCCCAATTATTTTTTTTCCAGGCAGTATGTCTTTGGTCACAGTATGTTCATTCACTAATTTTTTGTGCAGTTCCAAAAATTCATTGTACCGTTTTTGTACACTCCAAGTAACATCGCCAACATTCACTTTGATATGATAATATGTTACCCCATCGGTATCTGTTTCGGCCTTACAAATAGCAATGTTACATTCGTGACAATATTGTACATAACAAGACATTTTATATACTCTGTTCGATCTTCAATATGTATATAATTATTATAAGTTATTTATTTAGAAATACATGTAAATACCTAAGTGAGACACAGCAAATTATTGAAACTGAATCATTATAATATTAACAGTTAATCACGAAGACAGAAAAATGTGTACAAAGCACTACGAAGTACGAAAACAAATAAACAACATTGAACATCAAGTGTCATCAACAGAAAATAGAATAATAATTAATAATATAATATCAGAAAAAATTAACTTTGAGAAATGCAAGACTGTTTAATGTTTATCTTCATTATTTGGTAAAAATGATAACAGATTTTAATTTTTGACCACAGATATAGATAATAATAAATAGGATAAAAATGTTATAGATGACGTCACAGAATAACCACAGACTGTAATATGTTTATGCTGTGGAATACAGTGTTATTCTGTGTAGACGTAATAGTCTATGCAAGATGTATTTTTTTACAGGTAAAATTTTACCTACATCGTGGGTCTATGATAAATGTATTATCTATATTATCTGTGTTGTGTTTATGTACACTATGCGCATGCGTTAGCCGGTATATATATATTATTATACGTGGATTTTAATTTTTTATTATTATAAAAAAAAAATAGTTATTAACTGACAAGTTTTCAGTATTCAGTGACAAGTGTCAACCGCTAAGTGGAAAGTGCTAATTATCAGTTAGTGTAATACTGTAGTTGTGTAAATGTAATATAAAAACAATGTGCAAAATAAAGTTTAGATTAATGTCATTCGTAATAGAACTTAATATGTAGATGACATTATCTATGTACCTATACGGCTAAACCTACCTACTTGAGTCAGTATTATTTATATACAAATAGCATTAGGTGTACAACTCATCACTAATCAATTTAATATTGATTTCATTAGTATTCAAAATTTTATTGTAGTGAATTAATTTTACATTTCTGTTATAGGTAGTTTACAATTAAAAACATTGTTCATCAGTGACATTAGCCATAAACAATGAGTAAAGTCAAACCAAGAAAAACCATGGTTTTCGAAGATAAACTAGAAAATTTTAGCCCAAAGCGAAAGAAACATGGTTTGCATGTATCTAAACCTGTACCTTGTACAATTGGTGATAGGCTAAACATAGCAATTTTGTTATTTTTGTACACATTACAAGGGGTCCCACTCGGACTTTCAGCAGCTATACCAATAACAATGCAGAAGAAACATATAACATACAAAGAACAGGTTGAATCATTTATAATATAATATTTTATTTGTAGTTTTTTATTAATTTTAATACAATTTTAGGCCAAATTTAGCTTTTCTACATGGCCATTTAGTTTAAAACTATTATGGGCACCTATAATCGATTCTATATTTTGGCCAAAGTTTGGTAGAAGAAAAACCTGGCTTGTTCCTGTACAATACTTAATTGGTCAGTAAATAAAAATTTTAAAAAATTGGTAATTTTGTTAATTATATAACTTTATAAACTAAGGGTTTTCCAATAAGATATGTGATACAAATTGCATGCAATATAGAGCCGGGGTCAGAAACCTTTTCAAAGCAAAGAGGAATATTTTAGAAATTTAAAACCGATGTTTAACACATTCACTGCGTCAAATAATTAGTTGGGACACGTTAGATGCATCACAAAGTATATCGATGTTCGCTAGGAGCGTGCCTCCAATTCGGGCATTTTAATTAGTGTCGGAAAAATCAACAAAATAAGTTATTTATAAATGGATTGGACTGAAATAACAAGAAATTTCTATGCAGACGCGTGTGTAAAAAAAAACATTACTCTAGTGCGTCTCTATTTTATAGCACATTTAATTCAACGGACCTGATGTCGGCTATATTCGACAGGCGCACCGTGAAAAAACCGGTCCGTCGGATATAGCTGACAAACGCAACGAATGTGTTAATGAACCCACTTATTTTAGTCTTCTTTATTCTTACATTTTTTTTAAAAAATATTATCTTATTTAACGAGAAATAAACTTTTATTTGATATTCATAATATAAATATATAATTTATATTTTGAAGAAAAATGATAATTTTGTAATTTAAATTTGAAGGAAAAAAAATCTTTCATCAGTAGTGGTTTTACAGTAGCTGATCCAGAAGTCACCCAAAGGGGGGTGAATTTAAAAAAATGATATAGTCTTTTTGTTTAGGCAAATATTATAATAGAAAATAACGTTAAGAAGACAGTCAAATGGGGGGGTGAATGCCCCTCCCCCCACATATCCGCCACTGTGGTTGTATGGGGTGGATAGATGGGTCAACTTCCTTTACCTGTGTAAATACATACTAACTCTAATATCATATTCAATCATATTCATCCAAATATAAAGTATTTAAAAAAAAAAATTATTTCATAAATAGGTATTTATAATATAATTAATATGTAATGTGTATACTGTATAGCATATAAATATTATAAAATTACTTTTCATATACCTATCATTGGAAAAAAAGTGAGATGTGTATGAATATACAAAATATTTTCACTTCCCTCCGCTTAGGACTTCAATAAAATCCCCTGGGTCAAAAACTATCAATCATTTTCTAGTTAAGATAATTGTATAACTTAAACATCTTAAGAGGAGCTGCTGCCACATCCATGTATTATCCCTGTCTTACAAGTGCGTAACATAGCAAAATTTCCACTCAGCAGACTATGTATAGCTTCGTTAGTTTGAAAATTAAAGTGAATTGACCTCTCATAAAATTTAAAGGTTAGATTATTATCTAGAAAATTTCTTAAGCAATTCACTCTAATTTTTAAAGTAACAGAGCTAAACGTGATCTTCTGAGCTTAATATTTTCTATGTTACAAGTAGACAACACATGCAGATGCCATGTCCTCAATAATTTTAGAATATTCATCCAGAAAAAATTTATAACTATCATCTTTTCTATTTTAATATTTAGTTATTCTAGATCATTTTATAATATATGTATAACATATTATGATAGTTTGATTCTTTACTGCATATCTTCACCTAATATGAGACTAGACAAATCTATATTTGATTAAAAACTTAAATAATAAATAAAGATAATTACTACAAGTGTAAAATAATTATGAATAAACAATTTTTACATTCATTATGAAGAATTATGCTTAGTTTATATTGTTTATTTATTTAACTATCTAATATATAATTGATGTGCATACAATAAATGTATTTGTCAAAAATATAAATACATGATTTTAGTATTTTTAATAGAACTTTGTACTCTATATCTATAATGTTTCAGGTTTTTTTCTGTTATTTTTGGCAATGAACATCAATGATTGGCTAGTGTTTACAGAAGATCCAAACACTACATTTTTGACATTAATGTTTTTTTGTTTAAACTTCTTAGCAGCTACACAAGATATTGCCGTTGATGGTTGGGCATTAACAATGTTAAGAAAGTTGGTACTTAAATGTTGGCATGGATTTAAATTTTTTAATTAATAATTTTAAACAATAATTACAGAGAAAATGTAGGATATGCCTCAACATGTAATAGTGTAGGTCAGACAATAGGTGCTTTTCTTGGCTATGTTGTGTTTATAACATTAGAATCACCTACTTTTTGTAATAAATGGCTACGATTTACTGAAAGTACAGAGGGTTTAATCACATTACAAGGTAATCTTAAAATATATTACATAGGTAGTTTAGTCCATATTATTTATGTTCGGTTACTAACAGATGAAGTCCAGTTGTTGTTTTTTATTATTATTATTTTCCCTCTTTTTATTTAACATTAGAATCTATGCAACTAACCAACTCAAATATTAAAACCAATGTATGTAAACAATAAATTTATTTATGGGGAACAAACTAAAGGGGATTTGATTCCAACTGTTTGTAAGGATTCTATTTTATATGTGTGTGCATGCTGGTCGTGTATAAAATAAATAGCCAAGCGATCTGGCATTACAAATTTTAATGTCATGCATTACACAAATTTCAATTATTTTGTTTTTTTTTGGTCGAAATTATTAATTTTTCCCAATCATATGAACATATATGTATCTGATAAAATATCTGAAAACATATTTGAATTTACTTGAAAACAACTTTCTTACTTCTTAAGTTAATTTTCCAACTTCAATATAGCTATATTATTAACATTTTAAAACTCTTAATATTCAAAATTTAAAAACCTGGTGCAAAGCTAGGCAAATAAAAATTAAAGATGTGAATATATTCAGTCAGATACTAATATATAAGAATACAAGTGCATATGAATATCATACTACAAAGTGTGAACAAGTGTCACCATGAATGTAGAAATGAAGATTAATTGGGCAACACTAATTGTATTAATATAAAGGTCTATCGTCTATGATGATTAATCTAGTAAAGCCCTCCAGGTTTTTATTCGAGCACACTTCAATAGTGAATCATACACACTATGCCAGGTAGAAGGACATCAGAATTTATTTTATACTCTTTCGTTCACTAATAAGTTAAATACCAACCTTTTTTAGTTTTTTTTTAAACTACAATTTATTTAACACTTTTTAGTAACAAAGCTTAATTCTTAAACTTAAAATGAAAAGCATAAAAGGAATCTTTTTGGTTTAGGTTATTCGAAACTAACCATTAAGCTTCCCCACCAAGCTTGGAAATGTACAGTAATACAGTCTTTCTGTAAAGATATTCTAACACATACACCGTCATTCGGAAAAGGAAACAGATGATAATATGAAGCCTAAAATGATACGGCTACCGCCGTAGATGGTACAGTTGCCATAAGATGGGTCTATTTTAATAGAAAATAGATGGTTAAATTCCCTTAATGCAACTAAGTTCTGTTACCAAATTAATTTGAAAAATTTGAATACAATTTTTTCCTCATAAGAACAAGCAAGTTGGATTTCATCGACTATCTTTATAATGTTTTTTATTATATTAGACTTTTAGATGTAACTACTAACTAATACAAAACTATTTTTTTACTAATTTATGAATTTCTATTTTTTAGGTTTTTTATATTTCTGGGGCTATACATTTATGATTGCTACAACATTGGTAGCTATATTTAAACATGAAAACAACGAATCATCTCAACATGATAGCCATGATTTAAATTTATATCAAACATATAAGCTTCTTGGAGATATTATGAAATTACCAAGCGTTAAAACCTTATCAATAATATTACTTACTGCCAAGGTAAATTTAAAAAGCTAGAAAATGAATTGTATAATATTTTATTAATTTTGATTTTGATTTTTAATTGAACAACTAGTATAATATTTATTTATCATATTCTGCACATAATAATAACAATTTAATCTAAGATACGGTTTTATAATAATATTTACATAGTAATATATTGCATGCATAAGTATTACCTAAAATGTTACCTAGGATTATAATTAGAGCGTGGATTTATATGCATTTGCATATTTATTCTGGTTGATCGTAAGATATCCTAATCACAACATTTGTTTCATGACATAACGATTTAGAAAATAAAACTTTTTAGTGCATATTTTTGCATATTCCGACATTTACCCATTTTTTCTATATAAGGGCTTAATTTACAATTTTAATTGCTTATTTAATATTTTCGCCGTAACTCACGTTTTTATTACTTAATATATTGTTTTAATTAAATGTTCAAAAAATACATTTTTTTATTTTTCATCCATATTTCAAAATTTTTTTGACGCATTGTAATATGATATAATATAATATAATATCATTATAATCTATGGGTTGTAGAGCAATATTAGAATAAAATCATTTGTTATTAAATTTAAATGAAATACTTAAATCCATAGTGAAATTTCAATATTTTAATACAATATCAAAGTCAAATAATTAATATTCTATACCTATGATCAATAATACTTTTCACATCTAATATTCTGCTATAAAGTTAAATATCAAAAAAAATGTATGATCATAGTTGAAGTTTTCTGTACTTTTTTGCAATTTTTAACAAATTTCTTTTTAAATCCCTCTGTGGTAAAAATAAGCAATATTTTTTATATTACTGGTTGAAAATTCAAAGTTTATAATTGTTTATTTGTTTATATAGCATCATTCTAAGTAGAACATCTAGGTTATTAGTAATTAGCAAAGCTTTAAACTTAATGCATTTCCATATTTCTTAGAAAGCTGCATATTCAACATTTGTTTCATAGTACATCCATACATAGTACATACAGGCTACAACTCAAATTCAAAAATTAGTTTTGCATAATTTTGTATATTTAAAGATTTTTTAAATGTTAACAGATCTTTATTTTGATAGTAAGTTAACAACAAAAAAAAAAATTTTTATTTTTTAAAAAATAAAGGGCCCTTTCCACGATCATATTTAATTTTTTTTTTAGGCATTTTGTTTTAAAAATTAAAGTTTAATTGAAAATACATTTTGATAAAAATAAAAAAGATAGTACACCTATAGTTTTGTATATTAGAAGAAATATTTATTAATATTTTTTATTAACCATGTTTTAGATAGGATTTAGTGCAATTGATGTTGTTTCTAGTTTAAAAATCATTGATAAAGGTATTCCTAAAGACGATATTGCTTTAATTGGACTATTATCCATTCCACTCCAAATTATTATACCGGTATTGATAACCAAGTATACAGCCGGACCCAAACCAATGAATATATATTTAAAATCTATACCCTACAGGTAAAAGTATATAAAATAAACATTTATATTATAATATTATGTTATATTAATAATTTGTTAAAAAATTATATAATTTAGATTATTAATTGGTATTGTCATTGCCGCCATTGTTTACTTTACACCATATTTTATTGATCAAGATGGTAATGTTTCAATGTTCTATTATATATTAGTATTGAGTTCATTTTTACTACATCAGGTATAGAATAATATTACTGATAGTTTCTATTGTTTTTAGATACTTTGAATAATAATATTTTTGTTTTTTTCTTAAATAGTTGACTATGTACTCAATGTTTGTGGCCGTGATGGCATTTTTTGCCCGTATAAGTGATCCATTATTTGGTGGTACTAATATGACTTTGTTAAATACATTAACAAATTTAGGAGGCGCTTGGGCTAATACTGCTGCATTATGGATGACTGATTTTCTGACGTACAAACAATGTTCAACCAATGGAAATAACACATGTTCCACTGAAACAGAAATTAATGTTAGTAAATAATAATTTTTAATGATGTCATATTTTTTCATAAATATATAAGTTATATTAAATTCATATTTTATACCACATATTTATTGTTGGCGGTATATTGTAACATTATATTAATGTTGAATATATTATAAGTAAATCATTTTTCAGATTTAATCATTTTTTTTAAATATTTAATGTATGTTTATGTTCTAGGCTTGTCAAACATCAGATGGAAAGTGTGAAATTACAATTGATGGATTTTATTTAGAAACTTTCCTTTGTACAATTTTTGGAATCATGTGGTATCAATATTTTTCAAAAATTATACGTAACTTACAATCTAAAGACCTGAAACATTGGCATGTTGATGCTAAAAAACATTCGAAATTATAAATAAAAAATATATTGTTGATTGTTATTATTTATTTATTATAAAAGAAAACCAGAATAAATATTTTATCAAGGGATCGGAAAAGTTTCATAAATCTAAATATTTTGTTAATGTCTTATCTGTTATAGAAATAATATTATAAATATTAAAAATTTTGTAAATAATATTATTCATTCATTATATTATAATATATTTACAAATATACCTGTATCACCATTAAATTGATCTGAAACATTCATATATGATGTAAAGTTGCATATCTTCCTGATACATTTTGTGTATATGAATTATATATACAGAGTGATTCAGTGCTGCAGCCTTGGATTTTTTTGTTGGCCGTACTGTTTTATTATAGTCTAGTTTATAGAAATTTATTTTAAGTTATTTTCAATTAATTTGCTTCATTATAATGCACTTCGTTTTTAGCTATCATATTTTCTTAAGGTCACGTATGGCTAATATTATATTATGGTCTTGTCAGTAATACTAATTGAATAATAAATTAATTTTTATGTTTACTAAATACATTAATCCATGGTTTACAAAAATATTACCTCAATTTTATATTAAATATATACCATAGTAAATAGTTGCAGTCATTAGGAAAAAGTACATAGTATGTAATAAATACTTTGTGAACAAAGGTGAATAAAGTAATAGGTGAGAAGTAAGTATTCTAGCATTAAGGTCCCCACACACTGCAGCGGTGGCGGTGACGTTAAATTCTATTGTCTTGGCTTCACCGCCGCGGTGAGCGGTGAAATGTGTCCTACACTCCTACAGCAATTCACCGCCACCGCCACCGCTGCAGTGTGTGGGGACCTTTGGTCATTACAAAAACTAGAGAAAAAAATAAATGCTCTAGGTTTTTTTTTTTTTTTTAATTATGGTGAAAAGAATGAAAAACTATGGACTAATGATGACATGGTAGGAAATCTCTCATTAGAGACACCTAGTGGCTTTACAAAAACGTTTACAATTTATTACAATTACACTTATTATCCCCAGTTGCATAAATTATATTATAAGGGGCAAGGGCAAGAGCCACTAATATACTTCAAAATATCTAGACACGCTATGACGTGTCAAGCCAAGTTCTAGGCTTCTAGCTAACACGAGCGTATGCTGCCACTTTTTACCCCCTCATAACTCAAAAACTATTCCACAGTAGATATTGGCGACCCAACATGGGGCAGCAACATACTTTTTTTTCTATGTATGTAATTAATATTAATTTAAAAAAAAATTACAATTAAAATAATTAAATAATTTATCTTACGATTATTAATTACCCACCCACGAGTAGAAGTTATAGTAAATAAAATTATGATAGTTCAAAATATACTCAAAAAGAGATAAAATAATTTTATATTTTATACTCTATATACAACGGAAAATATTTTGTAATAAATATTATTAATGTTAGTAACTGAATTATAGTATATAGTAATAAACTCTATTTATAGAATACGTCATGGCTAGGTTAGGTTATAATAATTTACATACAAAGAGTAATGATATCCATATCCCAACGACCCAACCTAAATGTCGATTTAGAGAAAACAAAAATGGAACATTTTTGTATTATAGTTTACATTTTTTATTTTATTTTTTTTCAGTTGATAATCAAATCAACGACGACGCGGGAATTGCTTTCGCATTACTGGCGCGGCGCCGCCATAATTTATTTGACAATAATACACATGGGAGTCATGGGACAATCCCCCACCTTACCCCCTCACAATGGTTTAGGTACTAATACATGGTTATTATGGGGAGGTAGACGGGACATTTCCCCGCCTTACCACCTTACATTATAATATACTGGTATGGAGTTTTTCGATGACTTGGCGAGCCTTGACTTCTCGTTCTCGGAAGTTTCGCGATGCAGTAATCGCCTTCCCACCCGTGGTGTCACAAGTGGGGGGATGAAGAACGTGGTCGCCGGTCGGTGACACCTCCGACGCCTCGCTGTTGCGAACTCGAGGGTGAGACTGACCGTTCTTCATCGTGGTCCCTTGCGGCTCAGGCTGGAGCTTGCCGCGCTCTTCGCATGTTCGTTGCAGCTGCTCTGTGGTAGGCCTCGTCTTCCTTTGTCGAATTATAATATATTTTATATTAAATTATAATGAACTAAGCATTCACTGAAAAAGAGAAAAAAATGAAAGTACAGACGAAGTATAATATTATAACCGTAATTTTAAATCGGCAGACAGTGTGCCGTGCGAACGTTGCCGTAGTGACTTCTGAATACAATTTATTATATTATAATTAATTATCTAATATCTAATATTATATTTGATAACAAAATAATCATCAAAATAACCATTCTGACGTCCGTGGCAATTAAATTTGTATCTAATCGGTGAGCGTGCCCCTTCCATCCCTAGGTAATTACCATTATAAAATCAAACCTGTTTACCTATCTATAGTTAGCTATATAATATTATAGAATACAATGCGTACATGTACCTATAGGTACTGCAAATATATATAATATGTTATTTATCTGCTTTGTTAAATTATGTACAAAACTCGTTCCAGTTTGCAAATCTCAACATTTGGCCGGCTGCTGGCCAGTCTGTCAAAAACCACGTGTAGGGCGGTGTGTAACTATAATAGGTACCTTTTTTTTTTTTTTTTTTTTTTTTTTTTTTTTTTTTTTAGTTTCAACCGACGGCGCCGCGGGAATTGCTTTCGCATTACTGCCGCGGCGCCGCCATCGTTTATTGAAATATCAAAATTTATACATACGGGGGAGGTAGACGGGACAATTCCCCGACTTACCCCCCCTTACATTACAGTTTATACACTTCATCTACATTTTGGGTGTGGTTGTTCTGTACCTGGTCTTAGCGGGCCGACCGGAGTCCGCCGCCCTTGGAGTCCCGTGCGTGCCCGTCTTGGCGGGCCGACCGGAGTCCGCCGCCCTGGGGTGCCCGTTTGTCCTGCGATGCCGTGATCGCCTTACCCTCCCGTGGTGTCACAGGGGGGTGGGGATGAAGGAGCGGTGGTCGGTGACACCTCCGACGTGTCGCTGTTGCGACTGCGGAGGGCGTCTTCGGTCCGTCCTTCATCGCTGTTCGTCCCGTTCGTCTTCCTCCTTTTCGGCCATGATCGATTCGACCATGGTGGTAAATTCCCGGCGGTTCGTTCTCGCCTGATCGAGTATTCTCTTTCGCGCCGCCAGGTCGTCTGGTAACTCTTCATTGCGGGGGCCGCAGAGAATTTCCTCAACGTCACCGGCGTGGGGGGGTCGGCGGAGAAGACTGACCATAGTGGAGCGCTCATCTACCCACCTCGGGCAGACGAACAGCGTGTGTTCGGCGGTGTCGTCTGTGTGCATGCAGTAGGTGCAGTAGCTGTCGTCTGCCCGGTTGAATCTAGCGAGGTAGCTCCTGAAGCAGCCGTGAGCTGTGAGTACCTGGGTGAGGTGGAAAGTGAGGTCCATTGGCGGTTTAGTCAGCCATCGTGCTATGTCGGGTAGGAGTCGGTGGGTCCATCTCCGCCCTACCGCGCCAGGTGTGATGGCTGCCCGGTCCCATCTAGATTGCCAAGACTTGACCGATATCTCCCTCTCCTGGAGCTTCACCGCTTGTTTAGGTCTGACCTCGCCAGCGTCGCTCATCCGGTCGTTGACTCTGGCTCTCTCGTGAGCGAGGAGGTCAGCCGGCAGCATAGAGGAGAGGACGGATGACGCATCGGCGGACACCGTCCGGTACGCCCTTATCGTGCGTATGGCCGTTGTACGCTGTGCCCGAGCCATTTCATTCCGGTTCTTCGCGGTCTTGGTGCCAACTGTAGCCCAGACCGGGGAGGCGTACAGGAGTTTGCTGTTCGTTACGGACCCCAGGAGTGCCCGTTTAGCCTGGGCCGGTCCGCCTAGGTTCGGCATGAGTCGTCCGATGGCTTTGGCGGATTGAGTTGCTCTCTTCGACGCAGCCGCGATGTGGGCGGTGAATGAAAGTCGGGTGTCGAGCTCAACTCCCAGATATCTTATTGACGCCTTGACCGGGATGGCGTGTCCATCGACGTACAGCTCAGGCTCGGTGTATTTATACTTCCCGGTCAGGACGACGGCCTCCGACTTCTGGGGTGCAATGGACAAGCCGTTGTCGCGCATCCAGTTGCTCACGGTTTCCAGCGCCGGGTTCAGTAATGCAGCTGCGGACGGCCCGGTCCGGGAAGTGCCGATGACGGCTACGTCGTCCGCGAAGGCGACGAGCTGCACTCCCGGTGGCATTTCGGTGTCGAGCAGGTCGTCGTAAAACAGGTTCCACAGAGACGGCCCGAGGACTGAGCCCTGTGGAACTCCGCAGGTCGTGCTCCGGGCCGTCCGCGCCTCGCCGACCAGGAGAGTCCTATCCTGGAGGTATGATCGGATGATCCGGTTGAGATACGGAGGGACCTTTTTACTCCTGAGGGCGGCATCTATGCGCGGCCAAGGGACGGTGTTGAACGCATTGCAGACGTCCAGTGACACCGCCACACAGAGGTCCCGGTGTTGCGTCGCGCCGACGGCGGCTCCTCGGGCGGCAGAGATCACGCGTTGGATGGCGTCCTCTGTGGATCGCCCGTGACGGAATCCATATTGATTTTCGGATCGTTGGCCGGTCGAGTCCAGGTGCTGATTTAGCCTGATCAGCAGAAGTCGCTCGAGTAGCTTGGCCGTGGAGTTCAGCATGCAGAGTGGTCTGAAACTGGACGGGGCGAGAACGGGTTTTTCCGGGCCCTTCCGGAGGAGGACGAGTCTAGAAATCTTCCATCTCTCGGGGAATTTACTCTCCGAGAGGCACCGGTTGAAGGCGTCGAGAAAGACATGTGGGGCGATTCTCGAGACCCGGAGTAGGACTTCGTTCGGAATGCCGTCGGGAACTATAATAGGTACCTACCTAATACCAAAATGTGAATTTTTCAGGTATGCCTGATTATGATAAAAAAAATTAATATAGTGTCCTTTGGAAGATTTACTTTTAAACGTTTTAATTGATCTTTCAATTCG